GAACGGGGGGGAGGTGGCTGGGCAGCGGCGATCGCTGCTCGGGGACGGGCTGGGCATCGGTCGGCGGGGGGTGAGCAATTGTATCGTGTAGCACCTGCTTTGTATGTTATTATTGTGTTATTATTCTATTATTATTACCATTATTACTACTACTACTATGACTACTATTCTATTTTATTTTACTTCAATTATTAAACTCTTGTTATCCCAAGCCACGAGTTTTCTGACTTTTACCCTTCCAGTTCTCTCCCCCGTCCCACCAGGGCGGGGAAGCGAGCGAGCGGCTGTGTGGTGCTTAGTTGCTGGCTGGGGTTAAACCATGCCACCTCTCATCTCCTCCACTTTTCTACCGCGTATCTCAAAACCGAACCCAGGCCTCTTAACTGAAGTTGGTCTTCATCTCTTTCTCCACTCCTTCCTGCATCTTCTGGGCTCCTACCTCATTATCTGTCACCCCCTAATCTCCCCTAGCACCCCAGGTCCTGTTAGCACTTGGAGCGCTACTGGAGGCATCAGAGTAGGCGCATCACCGTGATCATCTTGTCTCATGAAGTACCAGCTCCTCGTGAGCTCGCTGTCAGGGAGCAGCAGGCACCGGGCTGCTCCCGAAGGAGCAGAAAGCTGGGAGCCAAGTTGTGGGGGGCATGCAGGCTGCAGGGCAGGCACCTTGCCAGCCAGTGCCCAGCCCGACGGTGAGATGCAGTAAGATCCCTGTTTTGGCCTAGATGAAGTAGTTGCAACCAGTAATAATGTTCTCAATATTTTCAGAAGTCCCACGTACCAGTAGATGTGTTTTGGATATGTAATTCCAGTTGGTCTCTTCTTTTTCTGTTCCTTTTTTTTGTTTGTTTATACATATGAACATATACATGGGAACATATGTACAGGTATACATATGAACTGTGTTCAGTTTTGGGCCCCTCACTACAAGGACATTGAGGTGCTGGAGCGTGTCCAGAGAAGAGCAACGAAGCTGGTGAAGGGTCTGGAGCACAAGTCTGGTGAGGAGCGGCTGAGGGAGCTGGGCTTGTTTAGCTTGGAGAAGAGGAGGCTGAGGGGAGACCTTATTGCTCTCTACAGCCACCTGAAAGGAGGTTGTAGCGAGGTGGGGGTCGGTCTCTTCTCCCAAGTAACAAGCGATAGGACGAGAGGAAACGGCCTCAAGTTGCGCCAGGGGAGGTTTAGGTTGGATATGAGGAAAAATTTCTTCACCAAAAAGGGTTGTCATCACTGGAACAGGCTGCCCAGGGAAGTGGTTGAGTCTCCATCCCTGGAGGTATTTAAGAGACAGGTAGACGTGGTGCTTAGGGACATGGTTTAGTGGTGGACTTGGCAGTGCTAGGTTAACGGTTGGACTTGATGATCTTGAAGGTCTTTTCCAACCTTAACGATTCTAGGATTCTGTATCTATTTGCATAAATGAATGTAGTGACTCTTTGTAAGGATTTTGCTCAATTTAGTATTTAACACTATTGAGAGTGAGAGGATATAGAGGCGTATGACCCTTTTATTTTGAAAAAGCAGCACATTGCCATTTTGTGAGGGTGGAGAGCCTGCGTTCTGAATGTCTATGGGAACTTGGTGCAAGTTGTTGCTCCCACTGGGTATTTCTTTTCCTTCAGCACCCAAAGAACGTTAAAAAAAGCCAAAAAAACCCCTCAAACAATCTGTCCTCCAGGCCCATCCTGAGGTGACGGTTAACACCCGAGGTGTGGGCGGGGCAAGGGCCCCCAGCCCGGGCGGCCGTAACGCCTGACCGTTACCC